ATATAAACACAAACTGCCTTTTGGCCAGTGGCTCATTTTCCACAAGGAAAGTGGGTCCATCAGAGGTGTGACTCCATTCCTGAATAAAAGCTGTGCTGATCCATGAAGTTTGTGTGTGGCCCATCCTTTAGTTCTAACAAATAAGATTAGATAAGGTCTTTAGGGTAAAGCCCTTGTGATTGAATCCTGGTGGCTTTATATGAAGAGGAAGAGCGAGCAGAACACATATACATACATGCACACACATACACACACGTGTGCAATCCCACACATGTTCTCTGTTTCTTCCCATGTGAAGTCCTGTGCTATCTCAGGACTCTGCCAGAAAAAATGCCATCAATAGATATGACATTTTGCCCTTAAGCAACCAGATCATGAGCCAAAATATACTTTTTTTTTAAATGATTTACCCAGTTTGTGGTGTTGTGTTATAACACCACATTATATCTTTTTCCTGAAGCACTCTTCTGACCCATGTGTGGTTTTGTATTTGTTACTTCTAAGTTCTTCTTCATTTTTTCCCCCTTATTTGTTCATTTCTGGTTTCTGTCCTTCATAGTAGATATATTTCTCAAACACTTGGAGATCTTTAGCTGTTTATGCTGAAAATTGGGTTCCCAGATGTTACTTGGAGCTCCATGTGCATGGATAGGGCTTACTGGCTGGTACACCCGAGAGTAGGTAGATTGCACATGGACCTGGACACTTCATGAGCCCCTCATGGTCAGAATACACAGATATCTTCTTTTGAGGCAGCTCATTTCCCTGGAGAGGGCTCTTCCAACTTCTTGCCTATTGATGAATAAACCTGCTGGCCAGTGTTCTGGGAGTTGAGTGTGTGGTGGGAATGGGAGCTCTCCCAGTTAACAAGCAGATTCTCTCTGGCTCCTGTTTCACCCCATACTCTGCTGTCTTGTATGCTCAGATCCAGTGCTTCTCCCATCCAATTTTACTAGAGAATGAACCTCTAGTATTCTGCAGGCTGCATGGAGACTGGGGAAGCCACCTCAAGATCTACTTGCTCCCTTTACAATCTTGCAAGCTCTCCTGCTTTCAGCTTCTCTCTTCTGTCCCTCTTTCAGAGGTATCTGGTGTCTCCAATTCCTGAGCCTCCAGTGTTATCACTTACTTAGGTCTGCTCCATTGGATCCCCTGGTCTTATCACCATAGACATTAGGGTCTCAATGGTCTACAGACTCCTAAGTCAATGGTCTGTAGCCATCTCTTAGCCATTTGCTTTCCATTTTCCAAAATTTTGTCAACATCTTTTTTTTTCCTTTTTTTTTTTTTTACCTCTGATTGAATCCAGAGAACTTTACCACTGAGCTGCATCCCTAGCCCTTTTCGTTTTTTATTTTAAGACAGGGTCTCATTAAGTTGGTGAGGCTGGCCTCGGATTCTCAATCTCCCTGCTGCAGCTTCCAGAGTTGCTGTGACCACAGGTGTGTGCCCCCAGGTCCAGCGGCATCTTTTCCACCTGGCATCTACTCCTCTTTTTCTCTTCGCCCTTGTGGATTAATCACTTTTTATTATTTCCCCCCATTTCTGTGGCAGCAAAATGGAAGTAGAGATTCAATTCTCCATGTTTAACCAAGAGGATTATTTTCTGAATATCTTTCATCATGGATGGGCTATAGGAATTGCAGAATTTAAAATTCCTGCTTCTTTCTGTGCCTTATCTACAGTCTTAAAACAACAAAAATGTTGAGCCCTCTGCACTGGTTTTCCTTTGGTTCTCTTATGTGAGTTTTTTAGATTTTTTTTTCTTAATTTGCCATGTTCTTTCCCTGGCTCACAATAAGGCCATAACCATGAGACCATATTCTCTTGATAAAATTTACATGGAACTAGAATGAAGGCAGACTGACCCCTGGAAGCGTGTGCCCATGTTTAACTTTCAATCTGATTTCTTTGATGACAACTTGCTATTCTTTAAAATATTGACTTTCTCTTCTCAACTTCCTTTTCTTTTTTGTTTTTGAAGTTCCAAAGTTTTAATGTATGTGTCTATTCCCCAGCAAGAATTTTGAGGAGCTCTTGTTCACAGTTACATTTCCAGTACAGTTTTACTTTCCATTTTCTCTCTGCTTATGGCCTGTACCCTTTCTCTTGCTATACCCTATGCTGCTATTGTGGCTTCAATAATCCCTGCTCTACTTAGGGAGGCTTGTCTTGCCCTTCAGAGGCTAGCCTGGAGAACTTGTCTTCATACAATTAAAAGCAAAGTCTGCCCCTTCTTTGGCCACTTGGAAGAGAATAGAACTTTCTTCCTTTTATTCGAGTCTCCTATTAGACCATTAATTCTTCATTCTAATGGGAATTTATTCTTCACTTAAATGCAGCTTCATTTATCTAGAATCCAAGAAATTTAAGTGTCTGGAATGTATGATCAAAAAAGAAAATAGTACTTTTCACTTTAATGCTTCTATTCACAGCTTCTATGCTTTCTGGCTCATAAATCCTGTTACTTTTATTGGCCCATTCCCTATTTTCATAAGCATATTCTGGATTTTGGTATGCTTAGCTAGAGAATAGCCTTATTTATTTACACTTCAGTTTTAATTATTTACCTTAGGGGTGACACTTTGGTAGCTTCCAATGGAAGATTTAGTCTACCCTCTCCTCCCATAGCTGCCCCATGCTCATCTTTAATTAGCTTTCTTTATTCTAGGGATGATACTTTTCTCCCCTCTAGTGATGATCAATGACCATTTATATACCAATTCACTATGTTCTTTTAACAGTCAGTATGTATTTTAAATGAAACCTCATTTCCAAGTGGCTTTCTTTTGTAACTAAAGAGCAAGACAGGTCCAGATGTAGCTTCTTTTGTGTGATAGCAAAATCTCTTTGTTTTCAATCTGATTTCTTTTGCTAAAATCACTACCAGAGGGCCTTTGGTTGGAAGCCATTAAAATGGCCCCAGTGGTTTCTGCAGTCTTGATGGTCAAATTTGTGCGCTTGCTTCACCTTGAGTGTGGGCTGGGCTCATTGCCTCATAGTGGGGGCAGTGGGATAGCACTTTGGAGACTTGGTCATACAAGGACTGCGGCTCTTGTCTTGGCACCCTTCTCTCCTCTGCCTCCTCACCCCAAGGGAGCCAGTACTGGTCTAAGGAGCCACCTGTGGCAAGGGCTTACGGGGGCTTCTGGCCAACAGCTAGAAGGTCAATAGCTTGTGAGGAAGAAAATCCTGTGCATAATCATCCAAGTGGGCTGGAGGCCATGGCTCTGCCCACCCACTACCACCCTAGCTGGAGGCCAGGCCTCCCCCAGCTAGGTCTTCAGGTAAGACTGCTCACCTCTGGGTTCACTAATACCATGTGGTCTGGTGAGACCCTCAGAAATGATAATTTTATAGTTTGAAACTGCTGAATTGGAGATAATTTGTCACATAGCAATACATAATAAATACAGGCTCTTAAGGCATATTACCTAGCTTTTCGCCTGTTTTTCATAGCTAAATTTGTTTAGATCGTTCTCTCCTCTAGAGAGAATTTAATTACTCGTGAAAGTTTTTCTTTAAATTCTTTGAAGGCCGGAAATGCAGACATCAGTTTTATTACGAATTATGTCACTAGTGCTCACTTAGCATGATGCCTTGCACCCAGAGGAAAATTCATATTTTCTGAATTTGACACTTTCATCTCTTTCTACCTGTCCTGATTAAGTTACTCCTCCTTCCTGTATCACAGTTTCTCTTGGGACTCAGACCCCTAACTCATTGCCTCTACTTCTCGCTCCTCTGACCTGCTGCCTGGCCTCTGGAACTGCCACACTGCTGTCTGGCAAGTCAGTTCCCTGGTGGCACTCAGTCCACTCTGCTGTCCTCCTCTCCTCCCTGGCTTGGGAGAGGCTCTCTTGCTAGGGAGGTGAGACAATCCCCTGATCCCCTCACCATCCAGAGGAGTAAGAGCATGCAAATTGGTTTTGGTTTGTTTTTCCATTTAAAAGTAGTAAGTAGGTAGATGGTTAAGGCCAGGAGATAGCATGTGGCCACCTTGAAATTTAGAAGCAGATTGACTAGAACTTAGGTTTCCTGAAAGAAGAAACATCATACCAAGAGATTCAACTTTGAATCTGGGCTCCACCAAATTTAATGACCTTGAGGGAATTATTCAAGCTTTTCAATCAGTTCCCCATCCAGAACAGGTAAGTAATTTCTATTTTATAAAGTCATCTTGGGCATTATTCTTGAACCTGTATTTTGTCCATTCCATATTTTAGCTTATATTTCTTTGGGATAGGTTTACTTTGTAGTTACAATGATGTCATAAACTTTCTATTTTAGTTGATAACTTAAATATAGCAAGACTATGGCATGTTTGTTGTTAATAATTGATATTACTATTCCTTTATTACTTTTATTCCTTAATTAAGGAAAAACCAGCAAAAATATTATTTCTCACTGACATTCAGAATTTACCTCCATTTGTCTTTATTTGCTCTACTGTCGTAAGTGGGATCAAATATTATAATGTAACAGATGTTGGTGATTAGAGAACAAATTAGTTGTTCCCCTATTTCTAAGCTGCTTATCAGTTTAGAAATAAGACTTTGGTAGAAAAAAGTTTTCCAAGCTGTCTAAATAAAAACATGGCTGAAATGATTAAGCATATGTAAGGAAGAAGACTAAAGCATGTAAATTACCTTATGAGTTTAGGTTGACAGAAATGTAAAACACTAAAGTAAATTTATATTTATATTATTCAATATCTTTTTAACTTAAGCAATGAGTCAATGTTAAAACAAATAAGACATAAATACATAAAGATTCCTAGGCTTAGAGATTTTAGTCATTTGCAACACTGAACTGGGCATTGAAGGAACTTCAGAGATTATATAGTTCCGTGTATTCATCTTACACCAAAGGAAGCCAGGCCCAGAGGTTAAGTGACTGCTCTGTTAAGGACAGAGCCAGACACTTGCCATGACATCAAGCGCTACCCTTTGTGTTCATGTGTTACGCTAATTGCAAAGGTACCAGGATCTGCATCCTACCTCTTCCTGGGACCGGCTAAGTTGTTGTATCAGTTGTGTTTGTGCCAGCAATACTCTTTCCAGTTCATCTGACTTGTGTTTCATTTCCTTCCTCAAGTCTTCTGAAACTGAATGATTACTGTCAATTTCCTTCTTCAAACGAGATTCAAATTCTGCAACCAAATTTTTTAGGTTTTCAATTTCTTTTTTCTTTGACTCAGATTCTTCTGTGTATTGGATGTGGGATTTGTGGAGTTTTTCTTTAAGAGTGGTCACTTCCAGCCTTAGGTCTCTAGTAGCGCCTGCGATTAAGTCAGATATCTGTAAGATAAACATCATATTAGTTTGTAGGCAATAGTTTCTAGATAACTACAGAGATCCAAGTTTTTAAGAGGATTACTCTAGTATGTTCTTCTAACTAGAGGAAAACAAACCCCATGACATCCACTGGCCTTCAATATTTTCTTTTAAAAGTTCTTCAAGTTGATGAATGGATAAAAAATGTGGCATTTATACACAATGGAATATTACTCAGCAATAAAAGAGAATTTGCATTTGCAGGTAAATGGATGGAGTTAGAGAAGATAATGAATGCTAAGTGAAGTTAGCCAATCCCCAAAAACCAAATGCCAAATGTTTTCTCTGATATAAGGAGTCTGATTCCTAGTGGGGTAGGGAAGGGGAGCATGGGTGGAACAAATGAACTCTATATAGAGCAGAGGGGTAGGAAGGGAAGGAGGGAGTCATGGGGTTAGAAATGATGGTGGAATGTGATGGTCATCATTATCCAAAGTACATGTATGAAGACATGAATTGGTGTGAATATACTTTGTATATAACCAGAGATATGAAAATCTGTGCTCTATGTATGTCATATGAGTTGTAATGCATTCTGTTGTCATATATAAATTAAAAAAATAATAATAAAGTTAGTGTGATTCATTTTTCCACCTAAAATGGTATCACATTGATCAGTTGGGTAGCCTTGGAAATACATAATATTTGTGACTACATTGAGCTGCCAAGGATAGCTCAGGTCCTGACAAAGTAGATTAAGGGCCTGGCTGGACCTAGCTAGGTTGGCTGGAGGACCTCAAAATGCCTGATATTTGGAGATGCAGGAAGCAGGGCACCACAGTTACACTCTACTAATATACAATTAAGTTTCCCTTGACATAATTTTTCTTTTCTTCCTTTCTGTCTGTCTTTACCTTTTAGAGCAACACTGCCCAACAAAACTTCTGATGGAAATATTCTGTATTATCCAATATGGAGGCCACTAGCCACTTATTTATTTATTTATTTATTTTAGTATAGGGGATTGAACCCAGGGGAACTCAACCACTGAGCCACATCCCCCTAGTCCTTTTTATATTATTTTGAGGCGGGGTCTGGCTGAGTTGCTTAGGGCCTTGCTAAGCTGCTAAAGCTGGCTTTGAACTTACAATCTTCCAGCTTCAGCCTCCTGAGCTGCTGGGATTATAGGCATACACCACTTGCCTGGCCACATATGGTTTTTGAAGTGCTGGTAAATGTTTAAAATTGACTCCCCACACACAAAAAGTCAAATATGAATCTAATTGGCATGGTTTGAATACTCTCAACATAGCTACCACTGTAATACCATTGATAGGACTGAGCTGGAAGGGGATGACCAGGATAGGCTCTTGAAAGCCAGTATAGGCTACTGAGCCCTTTCAATGTGACTGATGTAACTGAGAACTGAATATTAAATTTTATTTAATTTTAACTAATTTAATTGAATTATTAGTAGCCACATATGACCACCATAATGGACAGTGAAATTCTAGAGAATATCCAGATACTGTGAAAAAGTACTGCTTCTTGAGGCTTCTAGATGAATATGAGACAATAACCTGGGGAAGCTTTTCCTTGTAGCATGAAATCTTTAGAAGGGAAAAGACTGTTTTCTTTCTCCTTAAAAAAAAAAAAAACTAAACAAAGAACAAAAAAACAAGGAAGAACAGAGATACTTCTGATGAAACATATCCTTATTACTTCTGCTACAGATATTGTCGTATTATAAATATTAGCAAAACAAGAAACTAGCCCACAAAGAGTCTGGAAGGCATTTATAGACCAAAGTTCCAAGGGCTTTGTGAGCTATTACTTAAAAGAGTTATGTATCCAAATTTGTTTCAAATGTTAAATTTACCTAAGGAGTAATTCTTGAGAGAAATCTATTCACCACAATTGGTCATTTTATAAATTAATATTCTATTTTTTGCAGTTAGTCCAGTAGGAAAGAGGGTCACTGTAGGTCTGAACAGTGGATTTCTTCACCCAGAGGAGAGGTGACCTTGAGACTGAGCAGGATAGGAGGTTCACCTGGCCATATGTTTTGATTTTTTTTTAAAAGGCAGTTAACATTTAAAAATCTGGAGACTTCACTTACAAAAATTTGGACTTATGACTTCTTGTGAGAAACCAAACCATCTGGCAAGTTTAGGCCTGCTTTCCAGTGTTCCTCTGCCCATGGGATCCTGAACAGCTGAGTCCTGCAACTAAAGTTGCAAGGTGAGGGGAGGATGGTCAGGGGAACTCAGCGTGGCCCTTGGCACAAGGGGTGGGAGACCAGAATTGAGGTGAGCCGAGGCTCCAAGCTGGGGGCACATGCTCCACTATCTCCATAGGATTTTACTTACGAAATCTCAAAGATAAATCATCAAGAATTTCAAGGTAGCATATGCAGAACATTAAATCCATAGCACAAAGCATTTCTGAGTGTGGGGTCCTGTGCTACACAGTCACACACTCACACAGCCGGACCAACCTGTAGTTCAGAGTGGACCACTGAACAACAGCTCCTTGGTTGCTCCTTCACACCCACGCAGAGACGTCAGGCTCATTTGATGCTTCATCAGTGTGGACTCTAATGAGTTAATCAAAATATTTTTTCCCCACTGGGCCTTGATTAACACACACACACACACACACACACACACACACACACACACCCTATACTTAGGTCCTATAAAAATGAAAATCTTAACAAAACCTTAAGTTTAGGGCACACTGTTTAAGAAATTAGAAAGGTGTGTTATGTTTTGAAAACATTTTCTTTCAACAATGTTTGGAACTGGAAATTTCTACATTTAAAAAGGATATATTTTAGTTGAGAAATTTTTAGTTACATAAAACACTTCAATTTTGATGATGGATACTGAGCTGTTTGGAATATCCAGCCAGGCTAATTATTAGTCATAAAGTGTATGCTGTTTTAAAGGTAAGTTTATCTTAGTAGGAAATCCCACGCATCTGGATTATATGCTTACAAAACTTATTTAGTTATCCACCTGGAGAAGAGCCAGACTATTTTACCTGTGTGGCTACAGCCAAGCACAGTAGCCACAGGACAGCCATGGGAGTTAAGAATACTGCAGTGTCCCTAGGTGGAAGTACTGGCCCCTTAAATAGTGATGAAGTAACAATCGCTGACCTTCATTTGTAGTTCTTTCTGTTCCTTCTTATACTTTTGGATTATTTCTTGGTGTTTTTCTTTTTCAATATCAAGTTCCAATTTTGCTTCTTCTTTAAAGAGAAGAGCCTTCTCCTCGAATTCAGCTAAGTGTCGGGCTCTTTCCTTGGCAAGTTCAGTCTCAATCTAGAAAATAGTGTTAACCCATATATAAAACCACTTTATATAGAAATAGGTACATTAAACTTATTTTCAGACTTGATTTTTTAAAAAAAAATTCTAGCATCAAGTTTTAATTAAACCATTTAAAAATTTTAGGTACTTAAAATTCAAACTTAGAATCTGGGCCAGAAAAAATGATCTTGGGCCAAGTATTATAAGACCTGGAGAGACCTAAAATCTAAAATATTACTAGAGAAGTTAGCATTAGAGTCTTCAAAAATACTAAAAACTGAGTCATTTATATGTCATGACTAAAAGCTTAGTCATTTACACTGAAAATTCAGTCTTTGCCAGCAACCCATAAGTAAAAAAAAAAAAATTTTTTTTCTTGCGGTCCTTAGACTGAGATCAGCTGAAATTCACAGGGGCAGGTGTTGATTTTGCAAATGGCCTTTTCTTGATGGAGGTCACAGATTGTCATCCTGAGGTTATGAAGGCTAGAAGGGTGACTAAAGGAAAACACTACAGCTGACTCAGAATCACAGTGCCAATGGGGAGATTCAGAAATCCCTTGGTTCAGTCTCTGAAGCTTCTGTGAACTGCAGGGAGAATAAACAAGGACTTGGTTTTGCAATGGAATTGAGTTTGATCTTGGTTCTAAATCCTGGCCCTGCCACTGGCTAGCTTGTGATCTGAAACTGGAGCCAGAACTTGAAGGATCACAACTAGCTCTCTTGAGGGCGTTGGAGGATTAAACGAGTCAAAGCCTTTGTGTAAGCTCAGCCTGAGCAGGGACTCAGCCATCAGGGGAGATGACTTCCACTGCTGACTCTCTGGTCCCTGCTGTGGCATCTATTCCAGAGACTGGTCTGCTAAGTGCCTGTCATATCCAGAAGTGGCAACTCTCTCCAGCAGCAGGAGTTCCCACTTCGTACAGCATCAGGCACTAGGTAGTTTCCTAGTTCAGCCCACATCCTCCACGAGGTTTTGTTTGTTTGTTTGTTTTCAAAAACAAGGAGATCTTTTTTTGTAGAACTACAGTACAATTATAAAAAGCAGTAAAGTGAACATTGATATAATACTATTCAAATTGCATCAGTTGTCCCTCCTCAGTCCGGGATCTAATCCAAGAATTGCATTGCTGGGGGTGGGTCCCCATGTGAGCAACCATTCAGACCCTGTGGGGGAGACAATGTCTGCTGTACTTGGTTCTACTCTACTTTTAAATTTTATTTATTTATTTATTCTAATTTGTTATATAGGGCAGCAGAATGCATTTCAATTCATAATATACATATACATCACAATTTTTCATGTCTGGTTGTACACAAAGTAGAGTTCCACCATTCGTGTTTTCATACATGTACTTAGGATAATGATGTCCATCTCTTTCCACTGTCTTCCTACCACTGGTTTCAGCTCTGCCTACTAGAGCAAGAGAGAGGTCAAATCTGAGGGCTGGAGTCATCCATGCCTTGGAGTTCATCTGAGATGATCAGAGAAATCCTGCTAACAGGCTGGCTTGAGGCCTGCATGGTACTGTGCTGTGATTATGAACTCTAATTGGAGGTAAATGCCTGGTAAGTTGGGAGAACTGTGTGGTTCTGGCCTAATATCTCAAGGGAGGTTTGCCAAGAAACAAGGTTTGCTAAGAAAGTCCACAGGAAGCCCTTTAAATTAAATAAAATAAGACAGAAGACCATCCCCAGTTGGAAGGTCAGTTGGGGCTAGAACTGGGCATCATGTGCCCCAAATGCACAGGAATTGGTATGACAGTGATGTGAGGAGCTATTCTGGCTTTCTTAATAACTTTCTGGATTGTTTGGGTAAATGTCTACTGATGATCTGTTATAGGATTGTCCACATGGGCTGTTCTCAGACTGCTAAAGAAGAGGAAGGCCTGGGGGGCATTCAGAATCGATTCTGGTGTGAAGATCAGGGACTCATGTCCACTTGCCTCCTGTAGCCATTTAGACAGCTCACAGTGTCTCCAATATGCAGCATGGCCTTAGACAGAACACTTTCCCCCAAACCTGTTCCTCCCCAGGCCCTCTCAGTGTCAGGACACAGCACCACCATCCATTGGTTATTTAAATCGGTAACCATAGCGCAATCTCTCATATTTTCTCTCTCTCTGCCACACCTAACAAAAATGCCTTGACTCCCTTTCTTCTCACCTCTCCCTCCACTACCCTAATTTTGGCCACCATCAGTTCCTGACCAGCTTCCTTATTGCCATCCTGGCCTCTCTCCAATTGTGCTCTATATAGCAGTCCTTTTTACAAAATATAAATTAGATTTTTTTTATTCCCTTTTAGTGGTTTCTCAGTGCATTAGTATAAAATCTAAACTCCTTATATGACCTTTTATGGGGTCACCACAAGCCCACCTGACCTTTGTGTGAATTGACAAAGCACCACTTTCCTTAGATGGAAACAGTCTCATGCCAGTGCAGGACTTGGAAAGCAGAGCATGGGCTAGATTCCAGCTCCTGCTGCCCCTTTGGCCAGGGCTCTCGGACAGGGTACAGCTGTGTGGCAGCCCTGGGCAACTCCAGCTGGATTTATGCTCCTTCCCCCATTTGATCACTGTGCTTCAGCCACACTGGGATAGATAAATCAAGAGAGGAATGGAGGAAAAGTCAGAAGGCATAACTTCCCGAGTTAGAGATCACAAGATGTTTTGACACTATTTTTTTTTAAAGCAACATTGTTTGAGATGCTCAAGAAAAATGTATATCAAGGTACTAAAATATGAAGTGTTTTAAAAATAATCTCTTGTGTGGTTAATTGGTAGAGCCCAATAGTTATTTTAGTATGCTTGCAGAATACACTATCTTTCCAAATATGATGGATTGCTCAAAATAAGTGAGTGGGAATGTACATAAAGTAGGTGGAACAGGACGCCGTATAAATTAGATGACAGAAAAAACTTTGGAAGAACCTTTTAAAAAAGAAGTTCTTCAATTTTATTTAAGGAAAAGAGGTCCTTTGATGTGGAGAAAACAAAGGAAGCACTCAGGAAGAAGTGGGAAGGGCAAAGGTTTGAGTGGCAGAATGTTCTGTTATTGATCTGTGTACACCTTGCTCCTGAACAACTCCTTGAACTTTTGTGGGTTGAGAGAAAAGAACGGCGCATACGGATTGTGGGAAAGAAAAGGCACCGTGGGCAGAAGGGGAAAGAGTGATTGACTATTACTGACTTGGTTTTTAATTTGCACAACCTGAGAAGGAAAAGCAAAGCAATGAGCTTCCGATGGAATTTCCAGAACTACAGAGGATGACAAGAGTCACCTGAATGTGACAATCCCATGGCATGAGCCTGCTGGTCCCTTCATGAACAGTGAAGAGCTCACACAGTGGTTTGCTTGCAGAATACACCATGTATCATTAGGAGGTTGAATGAATGCCCAGCTGCGTGTTTGTATTTTATATAAACTGCTGGACTTATGTTTTATGCAAACACATGATGTTGACACTACACATATAATGCATAAGCTACTGTATACAGTAATTAATAGTAATTTTGATAATTGTGGGAAAATATTGACTTTTTAAAAAAACATAAATAATATGTGAGCTTAGGAGTCACACAAAGTAAAAATAAATGATCTGTGTATACATTCCAGGATTTAGTTTTTTTATTTTTGTTTTTTATTATCTATAACCTCCACTAGTTCAAACTCCATCTCTTCAGTGAAGACTTCCCAATGAGTCCAGAGCATTCTGAACACAGCTCATTCCTTTTGTATTTGTTATTAAAATGCATAATTGTATTTAAAACATCTCTATCTAGTATTGATATGCAAAATACTGTCTTTTCACTGATTATTTTCCAACAGAGAACTTTGTGGCTGATTTTGTTATGTCTTAACTGTCCATGGAGCCTTCACCACATTAGAACATAATCACTTGTCACTCCCTTCGAAGCTCAAGAGAACTTCAGATACCAAAATGGGGATCAGATCGACTGTTCACATTTGATATGCACATATCGTTTTTGAAAATATATCTCCTAAAATAAATTATTGTACTATTTTCCAAAAGTTAAAAACAAATGCCAGTTGGAAGCTTTTATTCCCAGTGTCTAGATTAAGAAATAGGCTCAGAGAGGTAAAGTAACTTTATCAAGATCAAGAGTTCTCTGAGGCGGGGAGGTTGGCATCCTCAGATGTTTCTGGTGGATTCTGTGGGGTACCGTGCTTGGTTTCCCCCATAACCTGCCTTCTTCCTCCTTTTACAGCAGAGTGGCTAATGAGGTGGATGTGGTATTCATGTAGTTTCAAAATATTGGGGGATTTTGCCAGATACCATTTGGTTAATGATTTCTAATTTAATTCCACTGTAGTAAGAAAAAAAAACTTTGTATGTTTTAAAGTCTTCTGAATTGATTGAGAATTCTATATAACACAAAATGGTTTATTTTGGTAAATGCTTTACGCTACATAGGAAGAATGTGTACTCTACTGTGGAGGATACCTATCAATTAAAAATACATTATTATATCATTTTCCACAGTACAGATTCCTTCTGGTTTTCTGGCTATTTTTCTGCCAGTCATTCAAAGAAAGATTACATTTCAGACTTTGGTTGTACATTTGTCTCTTTCTCCTTGCAGTTTCATCAATTTTTGCTATTAGATGAATAAATGTTTAGGATTATCATGCCCTACTTTATCATATGAAATGACCTTCTTTTTCCATGGCAATATTCTAAATTTTCTCACATCTTTGCTCTGAAATCTGCTGGGTCTAACAATAATAAAAGCTATTCCAACTTCCTCTGGCTTTGTGTTAGAATAGTATATCTTTTTCATCTTTTACTTTTAACCTGCTTGTGTCTTCATATTAAAGTGCATTTCTTCTGGTCAATAGATGGTAGGGTCTTGCATTTTTACCCAAAATGAAAAACTGTGTTCTTTAAATGGAGATATTTAGACCAAGATCAGTAAACTTTGGCCAGTCATTGCCCATTCATTCTGACTGCTTACACCATGAGCAATGGCAAAGTTGACTGGTGTTGTGTCCATAAAACCAAGTCTTGCCAGAACTTTACAAAAAAAGTTTTCTGATCCCTGATTTAGACCATTTATATTTATTATTATTGTTGGTAAGAACACCTTTAATAAATCTACTGTCCTGTGTTGTGTTTTCTATTTGGCCCACCTTATCTTTTCTCTCTTTTTCTATCTTCTTTTTGGATTGAATATGTTTTAATTTTAACTTATCTCCTTTACTGGCTTCTCAGCTGTCAGTCTTTTTCTTTAAGGCTTCTAGAACACATCTGTAATGCAGTCTACCTTCTAGTGACACTATCCATGTATTGTACAAGAAAAACAGCATACAGGTGGCCTCAACCTAGGATCTTTCACCTGGACAGTGATGTTGAAAGTGATGTATTCAGCAGAAACTATACTTTGAACTTTGATTTGAGATGTTCGATATTTTATTATAAAATAGGCTTTCTGCTAGACAGTTTTGCCCAATTATAGGCTAATACCTCTAGCTCTGAGCACATATGAAGTAGGATGGGCTAAGCTATGCTAGATGTGTTAAATGTATCTTGATGATGGCAGTTCCAACTTGTGGTAGGTTTACTGGGACATAACCCACTGTTATGAAGCGTGATTCCCATTTCTTCCCTCAAGACATTGTGCTACTGTCATAGATTTTGCTTCTATGTGTTAATAATCTCATATTATGAATTCAATTATTAAAGTTACATAGCATAATTTAATAATACTGTGCCTTCTGATTCTTTTTAGCCATATATTTATTAGGTATAAATGTTAATAAATATTATATAAATAATTTCATCTCTATCAAAGTTTGTATTATACATGCTATTCTTTTTTATTTCATTAATAGTCCATTACAACACATTAGGAATTATTAGACATTTGGCTCTTCCATTTGAAAAAAAATTCAGACTTTTTTCTCTCTTCAAGAAAAATTTAATATTTCTTAAAATAAACTTTTCTCCTTTGCATTTTCACTATCAATTCAGAGACTTCAACCAGAAGTAAGATTTTGTTTGTTTTCAAAAGTTTTATATAGTTCTTAAAATGGGGTCAATAGTGCAATTCTAAAATGTTTCTAAATGTAATGTCTTGATGATAATCTAAGGAAGGAATATTTGGGATTTGCTTGTTGTATTAACAAGTCAATAAGTGATGTGAACTGGTTATGTAAGCAATTTGGTTAAGGGAAATTTTTTTAATTACTAAGTGTTCACTGAATAATAACAGTGTGCATTTGAGACCAGTTTTAAAGATTCAGCATGCACATTAATTTGCTTTCTTTGGATCAAAGCAATACTTCAAATAAACAAAAAGCTATGACAATTAGTAAACACTGTTTTTTAAAAATGTGCCATCCTTGTTGCATAGCAACTATTGCTCCTATTATGAGCTTTTTACATACTCTAAAATAATTAAGTGCAGGCACAAATTGCAGTCTAGTGTTTTTGAACATTAAAGACATTTAAACTATGAAGTTTACTCTAATACATGTATTATATATTTATAAAGGGAACATTTCATTCCTACGCAAAGGCACAGTGACCCAAGAAAGAGATGACAATGTCATATTAGTGATTCTTCTTTCTCATAAGAAGACTTTTAGGGAAGTTTTATTCGTAATCTCAATAGCTAACACAGCCAAGACCTAATTATCATTCCCTGGCTTTGCTGGCCTGGAGCTTGATTTACTGCAAGTTAAATGATGTTTATTAACAAGAAGTCAAACTATAGAAAAGTACACATGCCTAAAGACGTCTGAGACAGATATCATGGTCTTAATAAGAACTTTGAGACTATTCCCTACGAATATTTTCCCCATCACATTAACTTAGCATAAAGCAAGAGCATAAAGTTCTACAGGGTCAGCTGCTGAATCTACTCAGTGTTAGTGCCTCACAACCAGAGCACAGCAAGCAGGAGACTAGGGTGGGTCAGAAGCAGAGATGCCCTCTCCAGTGAAATGGATCTGAAAACCCTACGTGGGGGTGACTGTGCAGGTGGGGCACATATACTCCAGCAGGTTCCCCCAAATAGTCTAAGACAGGGAGCTCAGGAGTCTGAGGAAAGAGAAGGATTGCTGATCTCCATCCATGTTAATTCCATCAGATAAATTTCCAAGTCAGAGAAGGGACATTTACAGTATCTCTTGATATATACGAATGAACAAGTCTTAAGAAGATTGCTTTAATTTCCAGTGTCTTAGAGAAAGTGTGAGATACCATTTTGCTAGCTCTTCAGTGTGGTGCCAAAGCAAGTCTATCAGTTGAATGAATTAAAAACTATCTGTCATTTTACTTTGCATATTTTGGATTATTAAGTTGATCATCTTCTTTTTGAATTTTAAAACATGGATTTGGGAAAGACGGGAGAAATGAATAAAAACAGAGTAGATAATCAAGTATAACGAGGCTTGTAAACATTAAAACGAATTAAAGTGTAGGCCTTGGAAGAAAGGAAAGAAAGGGCTGTGCTACAAGGGACACTTCCAGCAACTTTAGTCCATACTCTCGAATTTTGCTTTCACCAATATGGAACTGTAGTCATAGCAATCATTACTGCCTGACTCTGTAGGCTAAAGAACAGGGGAGCAGGTGAGGATTTAGGGAGGGCTCTTATCAGCTCATATAGTTAAAGACTGGAAACAGAAAAGACTAGAGTTGGCTCGAGCCAGCCATAGCATCTAAAGGGTTTTAATTTGCTGATGGCAGAGTGGGGATTCATGGTGGAGATGTTAGTTTGAAAGTGGTCACTGCTTATTGATAGAGGTTACAAGTTATAGGATCTAGTCCCTGAGGAGAAGAGTCCAATAACAACTAGACAAGTTGTTAGGACTTCAGTCAAACAATCTTGAGTTTCAGGGGCCACCTCTCATTCAAGGGAAAAATTTAAGAGTTTACAAAAAAAACCAGACTGGGAGTGTAGCTCCATGGTGGAGACTTCGGGGTGCAGGGTAAAACCCAGTGATCAATCAAGGAGTACTGGAAATCTATGTTAGGAGACGATGTTGTCATCTCAGTGACTAGAGCTATTCATGGAGAAGGTGGGAATTAACAATTTTAAAAACATTACTCATGCTATGTAAAATTACAAAAGTAATACATTTTCACTGCTACAACTTTGGAAAATACACAAAAGTCTAAAGATTAGAATCAGTGCATTTTTTTTCATACTCTAAAAGCAAACATTTGTTGATAATGGCAGACTAAATGGTAACTCATTTTATTTTGCCAGGGTAAATATTTTGAAAGTTTGTAACTGACTTTAAGTCATTTTCCATTCTTTTATATTATCTTCTTATAAGAGAAGAAGAGAAATTATAAGAACATTTTCCTTTTTTAAAGAACGTGTTCAGCTAGGTGCAGTGGTGTACTCCTGATAATCCTGGTAGCTCGGGAGGCTGAGGCAGGAGGATTTGAGTTTAAACCCAGCCTCAGCAATTTATCGAGCAACTCAGTGAGACTCTGTCTCTAAATAAAATACAAAAAAGGACTGGGGATGAGGCTTAAGTGCCCTTGAGTTCAATCCCAGGTACAAAACAAAACAAAACAAACAAACAAAAACCCAATTGATCAAATGTAGATTCTAACACTTTTGTCAAAAAAGTAAACATTCGAAAAAAATCATGCTTCTGCATGAGAAACAAGGGCTATCTTAATCTTACAAGATTTCAAAATCTGCTCTTACTTTTAAAATTTCCTATTATGTAGGGTAATATTTTAGAAAATACACACATCATAAACACACTTAGTGTTGGAAATACCAGAAGGGATCAAAAGTGTACCTAGAAGCAAAAAAATCTATCTGGAACAGTATTCTAGCAAATGGGCAGAATTTTAAAAAGCAAATATGACACAGGCTGGTGAAAGCCACACTATTACCTTCTCCTTCCAGCTATCGTCGCTAAGCATCTTCTGTCTAATGGTCTCCTGCAGCTGCTCGATGCTTTTCTGATGCGACATCAGCATTAATTCCCTGAAAACCATAAATCCAGAGATGAGTCAAAATGTACCTCACACTCTTCATAGGTGACAGTTCCTGGCTTACAGACTATCCTCTCACAGCTTAGTGTTTATCCTCTTTACAATACAAGCGAATACACCCCCACACCCCCCCCCCACATACACACCCCGTGTACCATTTTAATTGTTAACAGAAGTTCATAAGCACTGCATATAAGGCTAAGTATCTTCTCAGGTGTTATTTTTTTCTTAATTCATAATAAGTTGTTATTTTTTGCATGAAATAGTAACAACTTATATGGAGTCACAAATATAATAAAATCTTGTAAGTTATGGTTCAAAAAGTTTGAACTAAATTCTAGCACCAAAGAAAAACACCTTGGAATATGCCTTAAAGTCAATAAATGTTTTGTCAATATTATTTACAAGTCTCAAGAAATTTAAGAAATTGAAATTGTATTGTGTATCTTTTCCAACTGTAATGCAATAAATGTAGCAAACAATTACAAGAAAAACCTGAAAACTATATAAATGCATGGATTAAACAACTTACTCTTCAACAACCAGTGGGTCAAAGAAGAAATTAAGAAAGAAATTTAAGAATTTATTGAAATAAATGAATATGGAGATACAATATATCGAAAGTCTATGGTGTAGAGCAAATATCACATTAAGAAAGAAGTTTATAGCAATTAATGTTTACATCACAAAAGCAGAAAGACCTCAAATAAACAACCTATTGCTGTAACTCAAGACACCAGAAAATCAGGAAGATACCAAACCCCAAATAAATAAAACAAAAGGAATAATGAAGATCTGAGCAGAAATAAATGAAATAGATACAAAAATACAAAAGATCAGTAAAAAGATCTAATTCTTAAAAAAAGTAAACAAAAATGACAAAACCTTAGCTAAGATGATCTGAGAAAAAAAGAGAGAAGACTTAAATGAGAGATGAAAAGGGAGACATCATAACTGACACCACAGAAATAACAGCGATCCTAATGGGTTAGTATGAACAACTCCACACCAATACATCTGATAAGCTAGGAGAAATGGATAAATTCCAGGACATGTAGCTCTTACCAAGACTGAACCATGAAAAAACAGAAAACTTGAACAGAAAAACAAGTAACAAGTTTGGACTAGTGATAAAAAGCTTCCTATCAAATAAAAGTCCTGGATCAGATAACTTCACTGCTGAGTTCTATCAAACCTTTAAAGGAGAACTAATTCCGATTCTTAAATTATTCCAAAAAATTAAAGAGGAGGGATTTCTTCCAATCACATTCTACAAGGCCAACATTATCCTGATAACCAATTCAGCCAAAGACACAACAAAAAAGGACATGCCTTTAAGTAGGTATGCATAAAACAAACAAACAAACAAACAAAAAACCCTCAAAAAATACAAGCAAGCTCAGTTCAACATTAAAAAGATTATTCACCATGATCAAGTGGGATGCAGGATGGTTCAAACATGAATCAATATACATGATATGCTACATCATCAGAATGAAGGACAAAAACTATATCAATAGACGCAGAAAAAGCATTTGATAAAATTCAACAACTCTTCATGATAAAAAACATGGAAGAATTAAATACAGAAAGAACACAGCTCAACATAATTAAGATCATATGTAATAAGTTAAAAGCTAACATTATACTGAATGAGGAAAATGTGAAATCTTTCTAAGATCTGAAACAAGATAAGAAGCCCACTTTTAACATTTTTATTCAACAAAGTTCTGGAACTCCTAGCCATAGCAATCAGGCAAGAGAAAGAAATAAAGGGCATCCAAACTGGAAAAGAGGAAGTCATATTGTCACTGTTTGCAGATAAAATGATCCCGTATATAAGAAACCCCAAAGATGCCACTAAATGTATCAGAACTAATGAACAAATTTATCAAAGTTGCTGGATATATCTGAAATATAAATGTAGAAAAGCAATCTGATTTATACTGTCTATAAAAAATAGAAGTTTATTTAACCAACAAGGGGAAAGATCTCTACAATAAAAACTATAAAACAATGAAGAAAGAAGTTAAAGAGGATAAGAAAAATGGAAAGACATCCTGTGTTCCTGAATTGGAAGAATGAAATTGTTAAAATGCCCATAATGCCCCAAGTCAGAGTCAGAGTCAAGGCAATCTCTATCAAAATATTAATGACATTCTTCAGAGAACTGGAAAAAACAAACCTATAATTTGTGTGGTGAACAAAACAAACACAAATTATGAATATACAAAATAATCCTGAACAAAAAGAACAAAGCAGAAAGCAGAAGGTTGACCTCAAAATGTACCACAAAGCTGTAGTGATCCAAGCTGTATGGCATTGGCATCACAACAGACACAGACTGTACATCAGGACAGACAGCCCAGGAGTAAGCCTGAGCACACACAGTAGCCAACTGGCTTTCAGCTAAGATGCCAGGAACACACAGTGCAGAGAGGACAGTCTCTCAATAATGGTGCCAGGAAAATTGGTGTCCACATGCTGAAGAATCAAACTAGGCCTGGCTCTCTTGCCAGTTACAAAATCGACTCAAAACAAATTAAAGATGTAAATGTAAGACAATGAAACAATGAAAACTGCTAGAAAAGACCCCAAACCACAGAAAATAAAAGCAAAAACAAACAGTGGAATTATGTCAAGCCAGAAAGCTCTGCACAGAAAAGGAAACAATCCTAGGGAAGAAGCAGTCCACAGAGTAGGGGAAACTATACATCTGATAAGGGATTCATATTCAATGTTTTTTTAATGGGGGAATTATTGTTTTCTTTGCAGTGTTTTTTAGCGTGGTATCCTACTTGCCTATTTTTCTTTCGTTTCCTGTGCTTTTGGGATCTTGTCCAAAAAATCCTTGCCCATTCCACTTCCTGAAGTGCTTCCCCCATGTTTTCCTCTAGTAGTTTCACTGTTTCAGGTCTTATATTTATGTCTTTAATTTGTGTTGAATTTCAAAAAACTTGGGGAGGCCTGGGTTCAATTCCAAGCACTGCAAAAAATAAACTAAACTAAAACCCCAAGATAAAAACCAGAATTAAAATTGGGCATTAAAAATAGACATTTCTTGAAAGAAGGCATACAAATGCTCCTAAGGTATATAAGAAAATGTTCAACATCAACATCAACATCACTAATTATCAGGGAAATGCAAATCAAAATCACAATGAGATGTAATCTCACTCCAGTAAAATTGTGATTGTCAAAAAGATAAAAGATTACAAATGCCAGTGATATGGATAAAAAGGAACTCTTGCACACTGCTGGTGGGAATATAAATTAGTAAAGCTGTACGGAAGTGCCTCAAAAAACTAAAAACTGAACTGCTATCTGATTCAGAAATCCCACTATAGAGTATATATGTATCCCAAAGAAATGAAGTTGGGATGTTGAAGAGACACCTGCATTCCCAAGTTCATTGCAGCAACAGTCAGGAAATGGAAACAGCCTAAGCTTCCATCATCTGAGGACTTGATAAAGAAAATGTGGCACGTATACAGAATGGAATACTATTCAGACACAAAAATGAAATCCTGTCATTTGCAACAACATGGATGGAACTGGAGATCATGATGGTAAGTGAAATAACCCAGGCACAGAAATACAAGTACCCTGTGATTTCATTCATATATGGACATAAAAAGAGATAACTTCATGGAAGTTGAGAGTAACATGGCAGTTACCGAAGGCTGGTGAGAATGGGGGATGCTGGGAAAAGGCTGGTCAGTGGGCACTAAGTTGCAGTGAGGAGCAAGTTCTGGGTGCTGTTGCTAAGTACCTACTGAACTTTTCAAGAAGCTAGGAGAAAGAACTTGAATGTTTTCACCATAAAGAAATTATAAGTGTTTTAGGAAGTATATGTGTTTTACCTGACTTAAATACTACACAATGTTTGTATATCTATAAATTTTTTAAAAATGCAGATTATAGCAAGTTTTATAGGTTCTGCTTCATTATGTTCCTCTAACCATTTCTTCCTTTCCTTTCCAACTGCCCCAAAGCCTCCTTAAGTTCCTGGACTCTTATCTCCTATCAAGAGTGTCATAATAGACTCCTGATCTCTTCATCTCTAGCCTTCTCTCATGTTATTCAACATTTTTACCATTGTAAAAATAGTGCCTATATTTCTAGGTTAGGAAATTTTAATGACACAAACATAAGACACATTTGACTTGGTAATTCAAATATGAACATCATTTGAGGGAAACTGATTTTAAAAACCTCAAACTCCAAGACTTCATTTCCAGAAGCAAGTCAGACTAGGTACATTAATAACTCTCCAACTGAAAATAAATTCTAGTTAAAATTCTGGAAGTTTTTCAGTGAGTTGGTCAAAAAGTGAGGAAGATGCAGAGAGCAAAACTCAAATGAAAGGCCAGAGAAAAGTTCTCAGTGGAAAAATGGTAAAATCTGAATCAAGTCTGTAACTTACATCAATGATGATTTCTTAGTTTTGATAGATATACTATTGTAAGAGATGGGCCAAAGGAAACATAAACTCTCTGTACTGTCTTTGCAACTTTTCTATATCTCTAAAGTATTCCAAGCCAAGAGATTAAAAAGGTAAAGTGAAAGGAAGAACCCCATGAGGAGGGCACAGCAGTCTATCCTTCCTAGAAGGCACCTTCGAAACCTGAGGACCAGTCCACAACCAGGACGGGCAAAGGACTGCAAGGAACTGTGCTCACGCAGCATGTGTGAAATGCACACTCTGAGTATTTATAGTGTAGTCATCCTTCAGGACAAAAGGGAAATTACCTGCTTTGAAGTTGTGGTAGGTGGAGAATTTCTAAATACAAACCAGCCTTGGTGCAGGTTTGTATCTTGAATTCCTACTACCTGAATGGTCCAAAAATCTTCATGCTGAGAATGCATTTTAATGTAGTGCTGGGTTAATCTTGCCTCACAGGAAAAACATTAAGATATTTGGAAGAAATCTATCTATAACACAGGACTCCTAAAGATAAGGTTTTAAGAACTCTTAATTTATAGTACAAA